ATTTAACCTATTAACAACTTGCCAACATGGATACATGATGAATGTCATAAATTTGATTACAGAAGCACTTGATAACAAAGAACTAGTGGAAATCAACTTATTATATCTTACCAAGGCGTTTGATACTGTAAGCCACAACATACTTTTAGACAAGCTGGAATATTATGGCATAAGAGGAGTACAACTAGAACTCCTAAAGTCATACCTCTCCGAACGCCAACAATACGTTCAATGGAAAGATAAATTATAAGTTATTAAACATAAAACAAGGTGTGCCCCAAGGATCAATTTTAGGGCCCCTACTATTCATTATATATGTTAATGATTTGCCTGCCACGGTCAATGAAGAAATTATATGCGGACGATACATCAATCATCGTAAAAAGTAAAGACAAGCGTGAACTAAAACAGAAGAAGTCTATCAATGCAATGTACGAAGCGCAATTATGGTTTGAAAGTAATAATCTGCAACTAAATCACAATAAAACAGAAAGCATAATATTCAGCACAAAAGCAGAAAATCGTGTCGGTAAGGCGAGGTTCCTCGGGTTACATCTCGATGGACGGCTGGATTGGCACCATCATATTGAGGCCCTATCAAAGAAGTTATCAACAGCGGTTTTCACCATAAGACGTTTGAAAAGCATAGCTACACACCAAGCCGCCAAAATGTCGTATTTCAACCTCTTCTAGTCCGTGGCATCATACGGAATTCTATTCTGGGGATAGTCAACTGAGTTCCATAGAATATTTAAAATACAAAAGTCAGCAATTAGGGCTCTCTGTAATCTGCGACGGCGTGATAGCTGTAAGGAGTATTTCATTAGAGAAGAAGTACTTACCCTACCAAGTATATACATACATACGGTGTTAATGTACGTGTACGATAATAGGAATACTTTCCAAACACTCGGCGAATCACATAGTTATGCAACTAGATCTTGCTATCAACTTGCTACACCATATCACCGACTCTCAAGAACACAACAATCGATGGACTATTGGGGTCCAAAATTTTTCAACATAGTTCCACCCTCCATTGCGGCAATGTCAAGAAGTAAATTCAATATAATTATAAAAAAACACCTAATTGAAAGTGCATATTACACTTTTGAGGAATTTATTAGGGAGGCAGTGAATGAAATTGATAAGAATTAACATTGATANAAGTTTTTTATATAAACATAGGGTCGCAACTCTTTTGTTTTCGAGCTATGAGCGATCAAAGTTGAGCTAAAAATTTACATTTTATTATTTATTTCGGCTATAAGTAAACCGAAGAATTTGAAATTTGGTATGTATTTACTACTGGTTAACATCTTGTTTTCTAGCATACCTTAAGCTTCCCTAGCGCCCTCTAAGGGGATGAAATTCACCACCCCCTTGGTTCTTTTTAGAAGAACTTTTTAACGCCATGGAGTATTAACATAAAAAAATATTGGTTATAAAGCTCATTCTTTAATGGTACTTTTTTGTCTCTTTAGTTTTTTTCCTAAAATTGATAGTTTTTGTGTAAAAAAATGGAATGTCGTGCCATGTACCGCCATGCTTAGCTAAAATTACTCTAAAAGTTGGCTTTGATTTTCAAAAAACAATTTATGTTTGTATTGAGACGAGCTGTTAGTTACGTTAAATCCTCTTAATTGTTGACAATTATTGAAAATATTTCTTGATTGTTATTAAGTAAAAGTATCATTATTTTTTTATTGTTGATCATTGTTTAAAAAACTAGGAAAAATTGATCATGCCACGATTATTTTCGACAGAAGAATACGCAGACATTCATTTTATTTATGGTTTTTGTGATGGAAATGCGGAAGCGGCATCTAGAGAATACGCTAGAAGGTTTCCTAATAGAAGATGTCCTGATCCTCAGGTATTTATCAATACACATCAACGTTTTCGACAATATGGTTTAAATACCCAGCAAGTACGAAATAATCAAAATAACAGAAACCAAAGAGCAATTTTAAACCTTTTTGATAATGACAGCACATTAAGCAGTCGCATAGCTGCTAGACTACTTCAAGCTCAAAATTTACGAGTCTCAAGAAGTACAATTTTACGAACTCTGAAGAAGGACCACAGGAAACCCTATCGTTTTCAACCTGTACAAAATTTAAGACCTGAAGATGGTCCTAAAAGAGTAACTTTCTGTAGGTGGTTTGTACAGTCTGTTGAACGTGACCAAAATTTTTGTAAGAAGATTTTGTGGACAGATGAAGCCACGTTTACAAGAAGGGGTGTCGTAAATTACCATAACTTACATAGTTGGGAGCATGAAAATCCCCATGCAATACGTCCAAAAACCTACCAAACAGAGTTTAGTTTTAATGTGTGGATGGGTGTCATTAATAATAACCTCTGTGGGCCTTATTTTTTGCCACCTCGTTTGAACGCAACGATGTTTTTAAATTTTTTGCAAAACGATTTGGCGGAATGTTTATCGGACGTTCCTCTAGGTGATCTGGAGCAACATTGGCTTCAGATGGATGGGGCACCATCGCATTACAGCGCTAACGTACGTGCATGGTGTAACGCACGTTATGGACATAGACGGATAGGACGACTAGGTCCTGTCAATTATCAAGAGGCAAACCGAGGTCCCGTTGCCTGGCCACCAAGGTCTCCTGATCTTAACGTTTTAGATTTTTTTGTGTGGGGCTATATGAAAAATCTAGTTTACGCCGCTCCAATAAACACTCGGGAAGAACTGTTGGGAAAAATAAAAGACGCTGCTAACACTTTAAGGAACAATCCGTTTCAAATATTAGCAGCAGTTAATTCTGTTGTTACAAGATGCCAAAAATGCATTGATAACAATGGCATGCATTTTGAACAATTTTTAAATTAATTGTGTTTATTTTTGTAATGAGTTTTTTTGATAAATTTGTTTCATTTTGATTCTTAATTAGTTTTCTGTTTGTTTTTTAACATTTTTCTCTTGTAATTTCCATTTTTTTAGTATACTATTTAATTTATTATTAAATGTTACTTATCTTTTGAATGATTATTTTAACTTAAATTTAATTAAATTTTTTATTACTTTAATGAGAAAACAAGTCAAGAGACGAAATCGTAAATAATTTGTGTTATTGTGTTAGCCCAAAATCCTGGTAAGTTTACATCTTCCATAGCCAACTTAAAATTTTGTTTTTTATTTGTAGGTAGCGCTTTGCCGCGCAATGTAACATATTTTATTTTTTTACGCAAAAACTATCAATTTTAAGAGAAAAACTAAAGAGACAAAAAAGAACCACTAAAGAATGAGCTGTACAACCCATATTTTTCTATGTTAATATTGCATTGCGTTAAAAAGTTCTTCTAAAAAGAACCAAGGGGGTGGTGAATTTCATCCCCTTAGAGGGCGCTAGGGAAGCTTAAGGTATGCTAGAAAACAAGATGTTAACCAGTAGTAAATACATACCAAATTTCAAATTCTTCGGTTTACTTATAGCCGAAATAAATAATAAAATGTAAATTTTTAGCTCAACTTTGATCGCTCATAGCTCGAAAACAAAAGAGTTGCGACCCTATGTTTATATAAAAAACTTGTGTTATTTTGGCAAGTACTACGTCCTAGTAAAGTTTCCCGATTAAAAACTGAACCACCCTGTATACATACATACGGTGTTAATGTACGTGTACGATAATAAGAATACTTTCCAACAACTCGGCGAATCACATAGTTATGCAACTAGATCTTGCTATCAACTTTCTATAGTTCCACCCTCCATTGCGGCAATGTCAAGAAGTAAATTCAATATAATTATAAAAAAAACACCTAATTGAAAGTGCATATTACACTTTAAGGAATTTATTAGGGAGGCAGTGAATGAAATTGATAAGAATTAACATTGATAATACATTTTTTTTTGTTTTTCTTGTTTGTGGATATTTTATTGTAAATTTGTTGTTACAGTAAATAAAGATATTTGTATTTTTTGTATTTTACATACATTTCATGTATGATCGTACTAATGAGATTGCCACCGAAGCGGGAAGACTTTATGCNTACTTTCCAAACACTCGGCGAATCACATAGTTATGCAACTAGATCTTGCTATCAACTTGCTACACCATATCACCGACTCTCAAGAACACAACAATCGATAGACTATTGGGGTCCAAAATTTTTCAACATAGTTCCACCCTCCATTGCGGCAATGTCAAGAAGTAAATTCAATATAATTATAAAAAGCACCTAATTGAAACTGCATATTACACTTTTGAGGAATTTACTAGGGAGGCAGTGAATGAAATTGATAAGAATTAACATTGATAATACATTTTTTTTTGTTTTTCTTGTTTGTGGATATTTTATTGTAAATTTGTTGTTACAGTAAATAAAGATATTTGTATTTTTTGTATTTTACATACATTTCATGTATGATCGTACTAATGAGATTGCCACCGAAGCGGGAAGACTTTATGCTGAAGCTTATCCAAAATACATCGTATTTTTGCAAGAATTCACCAAAGATTGTGTGATACTGATTTACTAAGCAGACAATGTTCTTTATCCAGAAGATCAAGGTCGGTATCTACTCCTAGACCAGAAGAAGAAATTCTGGCACGGATAGAGGCCGGATTCACTCGGAATAATGTTGTTAATGTTCACAACACGCATGTTCAGATCGATAAAAATCCCCATGGAATAATGGAATATGGACATCAGACACGTTTTTCATTAAACATTTGAATGGGCATGTTTGAATGGGTCCTGTTGTTTTAACAAACCGATGAACAGGCACTGCTTATCTAAACTTTCTACAAAACACAAGAATTAATCTTTTTGGCGACATTCCCTTAGACCAAAGGCAATAAATGTGGTTTCCCACCATCCCATCACGCTGGGATGGTGCTCAACCTCATTTTTCGATTGCGGTTAGAAAACATTTAACTCAAAGCTTTTCACGTATATGGATAGGAAGAGGCAGGCCTGTACTATAACCTGCCAGATCGCCTGACTTAAACCCTCTAGACTTACTACTGTAAATACCCTTAAGGAGATGCAGCTACGAATTAATCAAAATGTCAACAAGTTGGAGCCAATATTATCATTATTATTTGCTTCAGTGATTTCCAAAATGTTTCTACATCATTGTTGTTATCCCGCATTTCCTTTGAATTTGAATCTCTTTTTAGGAAACAATTAAAAAGTGTTTGTAGCATAGCTATATCACTTTTATATAGGGCGATTCACGAAACTTATGGATATGGTACTGGCAGACGAGGAATCACAGCAAAATTTTGTGCTTGCGGCTCGTCTCTATGCAGAAAGATTTCTAGATAGATACCATCCAGAACGTGAATCCTTTTTAAGTATGGTGCAACGTGGTAAGGAAAACGGCAATATTCGACCGATGCTTAGACAACATAGAGAAGCAGTTAGACTTGTACACATTGTCAATCTCGAGGATGAGGTTTTGGATACAGTCAAAGAGCAACCTGGCATAAGTGGAAGCTACGATATTTCTGGATGAAGGATGGATTTCTCCAATAAAAGCATTCAATTTTGCTATTTTGACGATTTCCACTTTCTAACTAGAATATTGTTACAACTGAGATTATGTATTATTAATTCATTATCCACAATTTGGCGAATATTGAGGCACAACCATATCACGTGCAACGTCTACAAGCCTTACTACCAGTGGATCATCCCCCTTGTACATTTTGCTCGTGGTTACTACATCAGCATCAGTTGCACCCAAACTTTACCAATAACGTTTTAGTTACGGATGAGGCGATTTTCACACGTAACGGTATTCACAATGCCCATAACACGCATTATTGGGCCGTTCAGAATCCTGATGTTACTCCCCAAACACATTTTCAACAAACATTTTCTGTGAATGTGTGGACTGGAATTGTGGACGACTTATTGGCCCTTTTGATGTTATACAAGTTATATGGTTTCTCCATGATGGTGCTCCGCAAACATTTTTTGTTGGAAGTGCGGCGACGTCTAGGTAATGTGTTTTCCGGAAGATGGATAGGTTGAGTTGGTTCAATGGCATGGCTCTACCTCGATCGTCCAACCTTAATCCTCTTGATTTTTATATTTGGGGTCTCTTCTAATACTGAGGCGAAATCGGATATTCTGCTACCAAGACAATCCGACAACATCCTGGTTTAGGCCGCGCTAGTGGGAGATCGTGGATTCAGCAAGCCCAGTTGTGATATCTAGGAAACCAAAAAACTTTTGTTACAATTTTTTTCACCTAATAGTCATTATTTATTATAAAGAAAAATCCCCAAATTTATGCGTATAGGTTGAGAATCATTTCTTACTAACAATATCAATAAAAACTTCACTGTGATTTCAATGTTACCGTACGTCCCATACTAAAGTAAAACATATGAAATGAAAACTTTTGGGTGTGTGAGCTACACCCAAAAGTTTTGCCTCGAAACAGGATTAATACACGTTGATGACACACGCAGTGACTTTCAATAGGAGCAGGGTCAACCCAATTACATAGTATCAATTACATAATAACGAACAAGAAAATAAAATTAAAACAGATCATGAACGTAAGATTCTTAACATCGACAAATACAAGCTCAGATCATAATCTTATACAGGAAAGCTAAAGATGATAAAACTGTTAACAAAGAAACACAATGAAATGGCAAACCAACAGAAGTTCAATATTGAATCATTTAGAAATCAAAGCACTATTGATCTATTTCAACGACAACTTAAGCAACATATTGAAAATAATTCGATTCTTCACAACCAAACCGTTGACGCCATATGAAGAAAATTTAAAACTAGTATATACTAACACAGTGGAAGCAGTACTCGGAAGAAAAAATTAAAAAGTTAAATAATCGAAAAAATGGGAAGGTATGGTTTACAACTGCATCATAGATATAAATTAACCAAGACACTTTGAGACTATATAAAGTATATCGTAATCATGAACAGAATAAACAATAGAATAGGACAAATTAAGAAGGAATATTGAAACAAATTTAGTAAAGGTATACAGACTGAAAAGAAGAGACAAAGAGAAGTTAAGGGGATCTTACAATCAGATAGAACTCCGTTGAAAAAATAAACTGAGCACGTCAATTATAGCATTCATACTCTGATCAAGTGCATGTACCTAAAACACTAAAACAGACTCAAAGATAAATAAGGGGACAGAAGTAAAAGTGGTGACAATCAGCAGGATATTACCATACTCATACCTCTATACAAAAGGGATGCGCAACTAATATAGAGAATTATCGCAGAACTACACTAACATCTCGGAGCACCCGGTTTTGAACAACTTGGAGGATCTGTCGAGCAGAATTAAAACAAGCTAACTTCGTCTGCCTGTTTCTGCAAAAAACGGATACGCGTTGTGGGACTGTATAAAAAGTGAGAATATCAGGGAGATATGCGACATCTAAGACATTGTGAGATGGGTCCAATAGGAGATGGGAATGAAAAGACCATGTTGAACGTATGGTAGCCTCAAGACTACCAAGGATAGTCGAAGATCATTCAAGAGCAAACAGACCCCCCGGAAGACTTTCTATTCGATTCATATACGATGGTATGAAAGCTAAAGTTCAACTTCGTAGTATAATCTATGCCTAATTAGGAAACAAGACAGATGCATTAAATTAAAAAGAAGAAGAAGTATATTTGAGGAGCTTATTTTCATAGTGTAACAAGTCCATTGTTTTGGATAATAATAGTTATTTGTTTTAATATTTATCCATTCATGTGAGTGAAAATGTATGATTTAATTTGATTGTATACATATAACGTTTTAGTATAATTAAATATCAATTTCTGAAATCAATATTAAATAAAATGATGGATATCATACAATATTAAACTGTAGATTTATTGCATTCTAAAAAAATAAAATAACACTAAATTATTAAACAAAATAAACGCGATAAAAAATAAACAATCCTGCGAGTATGAATGACTAACACGTCTAATATACAAACTGTTGCGAGATCTTGTGTTAATAATATGTCGTATACTTTTGACACTTGCAAATATCGAGGTAACAAATTATTAACCAATTTATATACAAAACACATATTTAACATATACAATCTCTCTTTCAGAGAATAAAAACATAATGCGTCTAACATATCATTAATTGTAGTAAACATATTATAACCCAAAATCGCTCGCATGGCCTATTTTGTATGATGTGTAAACTTTGCATATCCGACTCCCCAGCATAATAAACAATGGTAGGATAATACTCAAAAAAAAAACGAAAACAAATACAGGAATGGCTCCTCACAAGGTATGTTATGATAATATCACAAATACCTTTTGGTAGGTATTACTTAACCAAAACATTAGGACATGTAAAATCTGACAATTATTATTTTGTCAGAAAATTCAGAAAAGCATAACTTTAGAACCACAAACAGCATTATTTCCAGTCCACACATAAAAATGTGAATCTTTTGTAGCAATATCCGCGACACAAAAACAATAAAATGCAATTTGAAGTGAATAAATGATTTCTGGGATTGCCAATTTAGGTAAATTCTGAAGCCGTTGTAGATCTAAACAGCACGTTATGAAATTTTGTTCTATTTCGTTCATCAACATGTTAAAATTAAAAATAAACTACTAAATTTATATTACTCACTGTATACCAAACATAAAAGTCATAAAGGTTTTAGGTCTAATTATTGTAAATATTTCTTTGTCAGCCTTTCAGAGCTTTTCTAATTTGCAGTGAAACAACTAACCTTGAATTTTGCTTGTTTCGGGTGAAAACTTTCTTAGCATTCACCGATGTATTTAACAGTATATTGTGACACAGTAATGTGTTCTTTTTTAAATGATTTTACGGACTAAAGAGGAAATATAATTTGTATAATAAATGCACAAATGTGTAATAATGTTAGACAAATTCGCCTACAGTTTATTTCTTCTTCAGTTGTTTCCTCATTTATTAACTTTTTCCTTGTGCCAACAATAATTCCAAAGTCATTAGTAATTCCATTTTATATCTATAAATGTTTCCAACGACGCGACATCGACAACTAAAATATACAAAAATACAACTATACACACTTTCAAAAAATATGTACAGAACGCAGCAACACGTGCATCACTAAACCACGTGTAAGAAAATATTATTTTTTGGATTTATTGCGTTTTGTTAAATGATGTGTGAATTTCTGATACAGCATTGAAGTTATGATGCTGGAAAATCTTACATGTATACTACACTACATATCGGGTAGGTGGACCAACCGACCTTGCACCGCGACCGGGTTTGACAGTGGCGATGTTAATAAACACCTTAGCATGTCTCATTCCAGGAGAACTGGTCCACAGTAGGCGAAGTCTCTCTTCAACCCACAGTCCAATCCTACATTTGGCCATCGCAAATGATACACCAATTGCTGGTTCCGGCCCCACAAACGCTTTAGCCCTGCGCTCTCGTGCTAGCTCTTCTGCCGCTTCATTGCCAGCAACCCCAGAGTGACCCAGGACCCAGATCAGAGAAACTCTGTTATCACAACTCAGTGTGTTTAATGTTCTCTTACAATCATTAACCAGAGCCGGCACCCCTGCTTGCAGCGCTTAGAGAGCGGCTTGACTGTCAGAAAATTCGTACTGTCATGTTCTTCATCCCTCTCTCAAGAAAGATTTTAGCACCCACGTCAATAGCAAATACTTCCGCCTGGAATACAGTACAGTAAGGCTGTACTGTATTTGAATACAGGCTGTAAGCTTGCTTAATTCGAGGTGTTTACAGTATACTCCTGCTCTGACACTTTCAGGCATTTTTGATCCATCTGTGAACAAGCAAATATCTGCCCGAACCAGAGAATTTTCATTTTCGATCCAGGACTGCCGCTCAGGCAGTACAATCTGGTATCGAGCATTAATCACTGATAGTGATCCCGCCAAATCTGACGGCATTGATAGCACAGTATTAGTGCTTATGTCCGAATAATTTTGAGCATATTACTTAAATCTGTAAATGGTTGTTCTTGCCACTTTCTCTATATGTAAATGCAGAGGAGATAGGCCAAGCAGAACTTCCATTGTTAGAGTTGGCGTTTGCTTATCGCACCAGAGATTGCCAATCCAGCTACTTGTTGAATTCGTGAAAGATTACTGATAACTGAAGTCTGTCGGGCTTTCCTATACCAGGCTGGTGCTCCGTATGTGATCATAGGTCTAACCACAGTCACATAGTGCCAGTACAATCTTTCAGGGGTAAAACCCCAATTTTTTCCACAAAAACTGCGACAAGTCCACAAGGATAGTCTAGCTTTGTGCAAAACTCCCTGCAAATGTCCATTCCATGACATGGTTTTGTCTAGGACTACTCCTAGATATTTGACTTCCTTTGAGAAAGGAATTTCTTCACCTTCGATAGTTGGGCAGATTAGTCCATCCAACTTTCGTTTCCCGGTGAAGGGCACAACAACTGTCTTTTGCGGGTTTATCGAGAGGTTCTCTCCCTTACTCCAAGCGCAAATGGTATCTAGGGTCACCTGGAGGACTTTAAATATCCTCGACAAACAGGTTCTTTTGACCATAACGACAATGTCATCAGCATAGGCTTGTATTTCTACACCAACGGCTCCGACTATCGCAATCAGATTGTCAACCAGGAGGGACCAAAGCAGGGGAGATAACACCCCTCCCTGGAGGCAGCCACCCCCGGCCTGAAGCGGATCGTATCACCTTGGAGTGATGTAAAAACTATTCTACTATGTATACTTACTAACACCGATTTTATATTAAAATCATTTATGTATTTAGATTAATGTGGTAATTTGGGAAGAATACATCATAAATTCTTTGTACCAGACATTTATATACGTACTATGTATATGAATGTCTGAATAGATTCTTCGGACGTATTGAAAACAGAAAAAAATAACCCTTCCATATGAATGCTTGATAATTAGGGTTCACATCATTAAAAGAACCAGTAATAATTTTATTATCAAATTCAAGGGTATCGATGATATTGTATGGTTACTTAAAAAAGGACAACTTTTTGAAGATTTCGTTTAGCTTGCCTTTCGCTCTATACCTTTCGCAGTTTTTGGGAAAGAAAACACTTGTGCAACCACGTGATCTACTAAAGTTATATACCACTGTATAGAGCGGATAATTTCCTATAGGTTCTATGTGGTTTTAGAGTTATGTCATCAATAGAAAGAAATTTCCTATATTATTGATGCGGGTTTAGTTTTTTTGTTCCCACCAAATAAAAGAGTTGTAGGTACTCAGAAAGATCAATTTACCGATTCTTTGTAAGGTTGTTTATTACGAGTATTTTTTGGCTGACGCCGATAGATATTCACTGGACAAAAGGACTTAGATAGCCCAAAGTGTGTTCTTTCCAAATTAATAATACCTTTTTTTAAATTCGGTCCATAACTGCTGCACACTGATATGAACTTTAAAATAGATAGAAAAACAAGGGTAATACTTTGTTGCTGGGAGGTTTATTGCTGCCGTCGCATAAGTATGATAGAGTATCATCTTGCGAGCAGAATTAATACAAGCTTACTGCGTCTGTTGAGCATTCCATAGAAAGCCGCCAACATTTGTCACACATGAACTGTGGCGCACTGTATGTGAGGACCTAAAGATAACCGGGCGTCTATAATGACTTCCAAATACACAAGTTTTGTGGCGATAAGATATCCAAGAAATATCCCTTGGATCTCTTATCTATTCTTCATCCAGTTCTCAAAGAATGTAATATATGCTTTTCCCATGGGATTCTCTAACACTTCATTTTCGTTATGTATCTCATTGATATTTTTTTATCAAATAAATAATATTAGAAATTATATACAATGCCATTTTTGTTTTTTAAACACTACTTTATTCAACATCGAGCTTATATTTTATAGAGACATAATTTCAATCATATTTTCCTTTATAACTAACGAATGCATCAATGGAATACACAAATAATTAAAGTATTCTACAATCTTTTGGAATATATTTTAACTTAAATTAAATGTACATCTTTTTGTTTAAACTAAGAAATTTATCTTCTTGTCACGTACTTCAAGGTACTATCAAAACAACAAAGAAAAAATAAAACTATATAAATAAAAAGGACTTTACAAGTCTTCAACGCTATAAGAAAGACTTGATTTACTTGAACTAGCCAATTTGGTTATCGCTTAAAGGTGATCTTTACCACCACCTTGAACACAAGAAACGATGATTCTGAATGAGAAGAGAGCTTTTTCCAATCCCACTACGCCCCACTAACATACTCATTGTGTTGGTCACAACGTTGGAAAGTTCAGATTTGGAGGATTTTATTTGAGGAGGCGGGTAAATCATCTGGTCTTCGTGTGTGTATATAAAAGGGAAATGTCCGGACGATGCGGTACATTACGTTAGTTGTTAGTCGTTGCGTGTCGCGACGCTGTGTGCTTTTTTGCGGTTGTTTACAAAATTTTAATTCTTCCGCAACATACAAATTGACACGAAATAATCAGAGAAGCGTTAAGTTGTTGTGAGCGCGCATTCTACTATTTTGCAAATAGGAGATTTTACGTAAAAGGTAAGATTAGAAATTAATGTGCCTTTTAAAAATGTTTAGTAATAAGTATTGATCGTGAGGATTTAATGTGTAATTTCAAAGTTAAATTGGTATGAACTTAACTCTTAATTCTTAGGTCAAGCTCGGTACAACTTGACATTTGCGCTATAAAACTAAAATTAGTCAACAATCTTGATGGAAGTGTATGTGTTATTACATCAAATGATTTATGATGTTTTTTGAACAAATTGTGTTCTCACGACTACGATTATGAAATATTTTGACTTTAAAAAGTTGAGAATCTGAAGAATGAAGATGAGAATTGTTGATGTTAAGGTTTAATTCAAAAATGTACATCTTTTATTTTTATTATATTGATGAAACAAAATTTCCCTTTTTAAGTTTTCCTTGGTTAACTTTAATAGTTGATGATTATTAAAATTTGCATGAAACATTCGTCAATTATCAATAAAATCATCTTTTTTCCAGTGGTGAAATCCGCTTTGAAAAATTATTTTTGGTTATTGAGATACACGTTTTTGCATGAAGTCAATATTTCTGGAATTTTTAGATTTTCCTCGGTTAACTTTAAAAATTGATGACTCCTTGATATCTAGGAAAAATTTGTTTGAAATATTACTTCCTTGACTATAAAATCATCTACTTTTCAATGATGAAGTACGTTTCGAAAAATTACATTTGGCTTTTGAGATAGTTGTTTTGAAATAAAATCGAAAATTTTTGCAACATTTAAGATTTCATTGGTTAATTTTAATAATTCATAACAAATTGAATCTTTGGAAAAATTGCATGAAACATTCGTCATTTATCAATAACATCATCTATTTTCCAGTGGTGAAATCCGTTTTGAAAAACCACCTTTGGGTATTGAGATACACGTTTTTGAATAAGAAAAAGTTTGTGGAATTTTTAGATTTTCCTCGGTTAACTTTAAAAATTAATGACAGGAAAAATTTGTTTGAAATATTCCTTACTTGACAATAAAATCATCTACTTATCAATAATGAAGTCTGTTCCGAAAAATTACATTTGGCTTTTGAGATAGATGTTTTGAAATAAAATCGAAAATTTTTGCAACATTTAAGATTTCATTGGTTAATTTTAATAATTCATAACAAATTGAATCTTTGGAAAAATTGCATGAAACATTCGTCAATTATCAATAAAATCATCTATTTTCCAGTGGTGAAATCCGTTTTGAATAATAACTTTTGGTTATTGAGATACACGTTTTTGAATAAAATCAAAATTTCTGGTATTTTTGGTTTTCCTCGAATAACTTTAAAAATTAATGACTCCTTAATATGTAGGAAAAATTTGTTCGAAATATTCCTTACTTGACAATAAAATCATCTACTTTTCGATGATGAATTCCTTTTCGAAAAATTACATTTGGCTTTTGAGATAGATATTTTGAAATGAAATCGAAAATTTTTGCAACATTTAAAATATCATTAGTTAATTTTAATTATTTATGATAAATTGAATCTTTGGAAAATTTATATGCAACATTCGTCAATTATCAATAAAATCATCTATTTTCCAGTGGTGAAATCCGTTTTGAAAAATCACTTTTGGTTATTGAGATACACATTTTTGAATGAAATCAAAATTTCTGGAATTTTTGGATTTTCCTCGATTAACTTTGAAAATTAATGACTCCTTAATATCTGGGAAAAATTTGTTTGAAATATTCCTTACTTGACAATAAAATCATCTACTTTTCAATGATGAAGTCCGTTTCGAAAAATTACATTTGGCTTTTGAGATACATGTTTTGAAATGAAATCGAAAATTTTTGCAATATTTAAGACATCATTAGTTAATTTTAATAATTTATGACAAATTGAATCTTTGGAAAATTTGCTTGAAACATTCGTCAATTAACAATAAAATCATGTATTGTCCAGTGGTAAAATCCGTTTTGAAAAATCACTTTTGGTTATTAGATACACGTTTTTGAATAAAATCAAAATTTCTGGTATTTTTATGATTTCCTCAATTAACTTTCGAGATTTATAGAACGTTCGTCAATAATCAATAAAATCATCTATTTTGCAATGATGAAATTCGTTTTGAAATTACTTACGATTTTTAGACATATTTTTTGAACAAATTCTTATATGAACTTAAATATAAAAGAAAATGTCTCTATCCTTGATATTTTCTTCAGATACTATCTATCAACATTATTCTAGCGCAAGTAACTACATAAACACCCACTTCATACAACGATTTATGCAAGAATAATTAATACGATGTACTTAACCAAGAACCGTGCGAAGTTAATCTGTTACTCAAAACCCCGTTTGTGGTTATTTTCAAAATACACCAAAAGGTTAATCACTACAAACATTTTTTCACAATACTCGGTCGCCACAATTCTTTTTTTAATCATCAAATTCGATTTCACTGTACTTTCGTGCTCAACGTAATAAGGAGAAACAATCCCACATATAAAACGATTTTATAACATCATTTAATGGCATTTTCTTTATTATGATCACATTTCTTTTATAATAATCATAAAGAGTCTTTTATAATAAGAATATAAAGTTAACGGTTAATTAATTACTTAACAACGAAAATTGAATGTAATGATCCAATTTTTTATAATAGAAAAAAACTCATCATAAACCTCAAACCGTATTAATTGAAATAATTAAATAAAATAATCTTGGATTGTTTCTTAATTATAACAATTCACGTTTATTGCAAATTTTCCAGTCGTTTAAAAAATGAAACTTAATTAATTAACAGTTCGTATTTACAAAGAACAAAACAATTACCTTGTGAAACATGAAGGTATTGTAAATCTTAAATTTCTAATTAATATATCATGTCGTCAATTAAAAAAAATACTGTCTTAAGAATTAAATAATTCAAATTAAAAAATAATTCATATTAATTAAAATTGTAAAGTATTGTTTTTAATGGGCTTCATTTTTTTTGGGTGATTTCATAACGTAAATTTAACAAGATACCTCTTGAAATAATGGCATTGAATAAGCTTTGGTACAATGGACCGTGGAGAAAGTGAATGATGAGATACGCGAGAGAAGAGTTTCTTAGTCTTATAATTATTGTTTAAGCTTCGGTAATTGGTCTAAGGTCGTTATTGCCCGAAGGAGAGTTTAGTTTCGCTAAAACAATAGTGTTACAATTTTCTTTTTCAAATTGTTTAAGAATTTAAATTGTTTTAATTAAATAGATACAATTTTAAATTGTTTTAATTTAAATTTTCAAATAGAAACAGTTGATAGCAATGAAGTTCCATAGCTTATAGAGCGAATAACTTGAGTTTTAGAAAAAAAACTTTTACAGAAACCTTTGAGATCACCACAAGAAATGAAATAAGCAACTATTTATCGCCTGATTTGAATATTGAGACAATGAGAGCCATTTTCCAGATGCTTGGATAAACACTTTTAAGACTTCGACAGAATACCAAACAGTAGTATAAATACCACAGCATAAAAGTCTTGAAAGAATAAAGATGGAATACCAGATGGTATTCCAGCTTTACCACAGGGTTAGAAGACTGGTTAAGATGCGATAGAACAGTAAGACGTTAACGGACATCTACAAAGTCGTACCATTTGCCGAAGTCATGAAGACTGCCATCTCAGACTTGGAACCCTTTTTATTATTAACAAAGAATTAAATGATTTTCATTCATGATTTTTTAGCAATCAAACTAACTCAATGGAAAATGCTGGTGTGTCAGACTCCTAAAGACGAATCTGAAGTGTTACAAATTTTAAAAGATATCATACCTATTTGGCAGTGCGTTTTAGTAACTCCACACCTAACTCCTTGACTTAAATTAGCGACAACTCATTAGCAGAGAGATTTAGCACCATCTTAATAATCTAGCTATAGTCTCAATCTGGTTGTTGTCTTAATATGACTGCTGCACATTCAGTTATGTGATGAAATTTTAAATGCTATTGATGAGAATCCACTAATGATCTTAATTCTTTTGAATTTTCCTAAAACTTTTGATTGAATTCATTTAACTCAACTTATCTTAACGGATACAGATAGCAATGTTTAATGATAACAAATCTAGTATCTCCAACATGGTATCTAGTGTTCTGCAGGGATGAATTTTGTGATCATTACCTTATATACACAGTGAAACAATAGTTTGCTAACTCCTAATTTACTCCTAAATTTATACATAGATTCCAAACTTGACATTCGGTTTTTCAATACAAGTTCAATTCTATGACGATTTGAGATATTCAGAAATATCTTCAATAAATAATATTCTCAATACGTCTAATACAATGTGATTTAGACATTAATACATTACTAAAAAACTAAAAGTATCAGCAGTTTGATGTATTTGGAAGAGTTTTACAAAGTACATTGTTTCTCTAAAATGGATTTTAATGAAATAGAGCGCACTACTATCCTAATAATGAGAGGGTGCCATACAACAAGATTTTATAGTGGTATATATCGTTACGGCAAACCGTAACGATATATCCAAATATATCCAAATTATTTCCCTATTCATGAGACGACGGTGCATTATATTATATAAAAATAAATTTGAACCGAATATTAGAAGTTAATGAGTTGTTTTATTTCCTAGACAATAGATTAGTAGACGATGATGAATGACCTCATTCACAGCATCTTAATCGTAAAGATCGTTTTTATTAAGATACTTGAAGAGTCGCATTTTTAACACTAAACCTGGAAATCTTGCAGAGTTAAGGCATCAAATTATCTAATATTTTACTCAAACCAATACAAATCATGACTTGGTAAACTTGCTTTGTCTATAATCAATTATGGCGAAGTGATGTATCATTCTTTTTTGTCCATCTCGCTAAAATTCAAAGACTTCAATACTTTTGTTTATAGTTCATTTCTGGTATCCGTAGAAAGAAGCGAATATTGCAGTCGCATGTTTTAGATAGTTAAATATGTAGTGTCAGAAAAATCTTCACTTCTTGCGTCCTTGCCAAAAAAATATCCTGAGAATA